AAAACAAAAAATATCGTGTATCCACAAGCGCTCCAATAAATAAATAGAATTGAAACGATACTTTGAAATGTTTTCCCGATGAAAATGAATAATAATAATAAGTTTCAATAAAAATGATAAAATGTAAATTGAATTTTATCATAACGAGTTTGCTTAAATTTCTTTTCTTCTGAGATCGCAGCAATGCGCGACTGGTAAGCTATTACCATATAAGTACTCAAACCTTTAAACCAGTGTTTCTCAACGGGGGCGATATCGCCCCCATGTGGGCGATTTTCCATGTTCAGGGGGCGATTAGCAACAATTTATATTTTGGGGGCGAAAAACAATTTTTTGGGCTATATAGTAAAACATTATATTAAGAATAATTAGATATTTTATTCGTTATATCGTACAATAATTAAACAAATAACATTATACTAGTCACTATTTTATTCAATGCAGTACGAATTTGGCGATAGCCTTGTCCCTCGGCATCGGAATTTTGTAGTGAAGGGGGCGATACTATGTGACGGTTTTATTGAAGGGGGCGATACTACGTTTAAGGGGGCGACATTTCGTTAGAGGTTGAGAAACACTGATTTAGACCATTATTGTGGTCCCCACCTATTAAAAGTGTATACATGATCGAAAATTTTCGTGATTAGTTTCCGTGTTTACAGTAAGTGATTGACATCAGTCTGGAAATTTGTCTTTCTCTGAAGCTTTCATGGCAACAATTCGCAAGCGTTCAAAAACAGCTGTTCTCAAGGACATTAAGTACACCAAACTGTAGTGTACCAAACTTAGTACACCAAACTGTAGTACCAAACTTAGTACACCAAACTGTAGCGTATGTCACATGATCCGTTATTATGTTTTGTTTTGTGAGAGACAATTTGTTTCTAAATAATAGCAATAAAGGAAATAAAGTTTTATGCTAAAATTTTTTAGTAATGTATTTCATAAATTGGGGTATTATAAATTTTTAAATTTTTTGTGATAGTTTTTCTGTAAAGCACAAAAACCAAAATGTTAGGTTAATGAAGTTAAGCTTAGCATATAATATAAGTAATAAGAAAAACTAACAACCTGAGAACAACCTGCGAACAACCTGCGAAAATCCACAATCAGCTGTTTTCAAGATCATCCAGCTGTGTATCTGTACTGAAGCCTGTGTTAAGTATGTCTTTTGCCAGTTTTGTGATATATGAAAAAGAATAAAATTTCAAATAACACGTAATAAAATAAGTTAAGTTTTATAGTAGTATGTTTTAGAAATTTATTTTATAAGATAGTGTATTATAAATTACTCTGATTTTTTGTTGCAAT